TTTCTCCCTTGTTGTTGCAACTTCACCAAATCAAAAATTTTGATACTGAGCTGGCCTCTGAATTCGTGAGACCAGCTTAAAATTCCTGAAATTGGTTTTTTTTTTTTTATTTCTAAAATTCTCATTCTTTTTGTTCAGTGCATACTGCTGGAGCCTTAAGAGACCCCATTTTCAAGTGTCCCTTTGACCAGAGCAGCTCAAACCCCCCTTTTGCTCCCTCCTCCTCTTCCTTCCCTCCTGGTTCCCCACGGACTGAACGAATTCTGGCCTCGGGCCTTGAAGCAAACACGAAGCATTGGGAGATTTACAGTTGATGGTAGGAGTTGTCAAGAGCTGTTGTCAGCACAGCTTACAAGATGTGCAGAACCATCCCCAGCAACTGTTCCTTCCCAAGCCAGCTCTCCTGACAAGGCAGCGAGCACACGGAGCCGCCTCTCCGGGCACCGGAGATGGAAGCAGAGCTTTCCCTGCTGTCAGTTGGAGCGGCGTTGGGCTGGAGCTGGAGGAGCACCCCCAGCACACCTCTCCCACCCAGCTGGCTCAGCCCCAGCGTGCCTCTCACGCCCCAGCCCGAGCAGGCTGTGCTGCCGGGACACACCTCGGTGCCCGGGATGGGCCGGGACTGCCGGAGCTCTGGGTGGGAACAGGTGGCCAGGCCAGGGCTGGCTGCACATGCCAGGGCTCCAGGAGGACACAGAGCCTTTGTTTGCCCCTGCACAGTGTGGGAGGCACCCAGCTTGGCACCAGAAGGTTAGTGCTTTTCAAAAGACTATTGTTTTCACCCTGTGTTTTTGGAAAAACAAGGGGTGAGCCAGGCAGGGCATGAGAACCACCCTGGCTTCTTCTGCCTGGAGTTTGTGCTGCCGTGGGCACCTCCCTGGCTGCACTCCAGCCCTGACCTCCTTCCCACGTGGTGTGATTCCTGATCCCACAGAGCTTTTGCAGATCTTCCTTTGCTCACATCTCTCCTGGTTTCCTTCCCTGATCCTCTCTCAGCAGGAGAGGTCTCTGGTGCATCAGCACCAGTGCTCAGGGCAGAACAAACACACAAAGGTGTTTTCCAAAGACTTCTCCAGCCTTGGCCTTGCACAGGTATTCCAGCTTTTATTGTGGTGGCCAAGCACTGGCCTAAACCCACTGCCCTTGTCACTGTGGAGCTGTGGCATGTCTCAGCAGCCACGGGGCTAATGCCCCAATTAAGAGAGAACACCCAAATATATTTGAAAAAAACCCCACATGTGCTTTGAGGTTTGGCCATGGTATCCGAGCTGGGGCTGGCAGGACCTCCAGGGCCTTCACCAGGCTCCAGCTGTGGTGGAACACTCAAATACCCTTTGCCTAGGAGAACTAGGCTCAGGGCTTGTTCTGCCTGGCTTTCACTGCTATCAAATGCCTGCCTAATGAGATTTATTAAATCAACTCACTGTGGTATAACGACGACAGGAATGCAGATCTCCTCTGCCCAGCCAGGGCTTGCTGCAACTGTGCACAGCAATTAGAGGTGACTCATGGGGGCAGGTGGACTTGGCCAAGATCCTGAGAGGCCTGGCCCCATCCCTGGGATCCAGGGGGCAAATGGCTTCATGGTGATGCCAAGAAAGTGGGTGTTTATCTGCATATAATGATTTTTTTTTTTTTTTTTGCCATAACTGCATTAGCATGGAAGGTGTTTTTCCTTTGGAGCAGTTGCAAGGTAACACCTTGTTTATGTACCTTTACATAACAGCGAGGGGCTGCTGCTAATTGGCAGAAATATTTAAATTTCCCACCTGGAGCTGGCTCTGTTTATTGATGAGCTTGTCTCCAGCTTGGCTGCCCATCACCATGGAGGCTGGGAAAGGGCCTCAGCTCCTGGGTGGGTGGCTGCTGGAAGCCTTGGAGCTGGAAGATGCTCTTCCAGGGGGTGAAGGTCAGGTTAACACCCAGAAGGTGTTTCCTAGGTGTGGGTAAGGTGTTTGCTTTGGTTTAGCTTAGCTTGGCTCTGCTTGTAGCTCCCTCTCAATGGCAGCAACAAATATTTCCTTGTGTAATGCCTGGAAGGATGAAAATTCCCTCTCTCAGCCTGAAGCTATGAGCAGTTTCCTGGTTGGTGTCCCCAGTTTGCCCCACAGATAAGGGCTTTAATGCTCTTAAGATAACAGGGAGCCAAACCTGTCCCTGCTCTTGACAAACTTTAATCTCCTGATGCAGTTCATGGGTTGAAATGGTCTCCCCCAGCAGCAGAGAGGGATGTTTCTCAAATCAGAGTACTGCAGCTATGTGTTTGTAACTTTGAGCCTGTCTGAGCTGCTAATTGTGAAAGAAGCACTCCCCAAGCCCTGCCACAAAGCCATGTTCCACCTGGGGCAGGTGGGGGAAAGCTGGGAAGATCTGGCCTTTAACCTTGAGGAGTTTTTCCAGGTGAGCAGGTGTTTGTAGCCTTTGTAGCCAGATCCAGGGGTCAGGAATGTGACTAAAGTTCTTCTCAGCCTGTTTATTGGTGTGGGATGTGTGGTTAAAAGCACTGAGATGTTGATTTTACCATTTCAAACTTTAAATTCAAGCAGCTAAATTGGGAGCAGGCTTCATGGGGGGAGACTGAGCCCTGCAGCAGGACCAGGAGCAGCCCTGAGCCAAGTGCTTGGGCAAACCTGAGCTGTGCTGCCAATCCTTTGCCTCTTGCAAACACAAGAGCAGAATATCTCTGTTGTTTTCTTGCTTTGGCCAGACCTCCCTTCCCTTCTGCCCAAGAAGTGCAGGCTGAGGACACAGCCCAGGCCTTTGATTTTTGGGTGAACTTGTGGGCACAGAGACCAGCCCTGTTTCAATGATGCCAAAGAAGTTTTTGGTGATTTACAGTGTATTTGCTGAGTGAGTTGGCAGATGCTCTGAACTGGCAGAGATGGAGGGAGATCATCACATGGGACAAAACCAAGGAGGAAGTCTCCTCTGTGCCCTTACTGCTGAGTGCAATACACAGCTTAAAAACCATCCTGGGGAAAGGAACAGGTTGAATAAAACCTGGTTGAACAGTAGGAACTCAACAGATTTCCATAGGTGGTGTTGCTCTAAGTGCTATCTCTAAATGCTTCCTCCTATAATCAAAGCAAATATTTAAATAATGTCAGAGGGTCCTTGACCCCAAAGTGTGCAGGGGTGAGGGGAGGCCATGAGTCACAAAGAAAAGAGCACTGATTTCTTTGTTGCTCAACCTCTAGCATTCCTTACCTTTTATATAAAAATCAGTCTTAGTAAATCCAGCTGACCTGAAAATAACTACCCCTTTGAGTCAGGTGCCAAGGGGTACTCAAATGAGAATGTGAAAAAAACCCTTGGTCATGAAAAGAAAACATCATCAGTGCTGAACTGGTGAATGTGGACTGAAACAGCAGTCTGATCCCTTTGGACACCACCACATTAACAGACAGAAATCATTGCTCCTCTTGCCCTGTGTTTTCCTTTCGTCTCCTGATTACCTCTGGTTACTTTTTGCTGCCACCAAACATCACAGTCTTGCTACTTTTAATTGCAGTTCTGACTATTCACATTTAATGTCAGGTGTCAAACAGCCCTTAAGCAAACAAAAGCTTTCTGGACATCACCCCAGCCATTCCCTTCTGTTTCCTGAACCCTGTAGGCTGTGCCTCACCTCATGCAGGTACAAGCCCAGACTAACCCTGCTGAAGTACACAGAGCTACTCTCACTTCACAGCACAAGTAGGATCAAACCAAAGCTCCAGGGACAGCAGTTTATCTGCCCAGAGTAAGCACTAGTTTTTCTAATATGATTGCAAATAAGCTCTGACAGAAATCATTGCTTCTCTTGCCCTGTGTTTTCCTTTCGTCTCCTGATTACCTCTGGTTACTTTTTGCTGCCACCAAACATCACAGTCTTGCTACTTTTAATTGCAGTTCTGACTATTCACATTTAATGTCAGGTGTCAAACAGCCCTTAAGCAAACAAAAGCTTTCTGGACATCACCCCAGCCATTCCCTTCTGTTTCCTGAACCCTGTAGGCTGTGCCTCACCTCATGCAGGTACAAGCCCAGACTAACCCTGCTGAAGTACACAGAGCTACTCTCACTTCACAGCACAAGTAGGATCAAACCAAAGCTCCAGGGACAGCAGTTTATCTGCCCAGAGTAAGCACTAGTTTTTCTAATATGATTGCAAATTAATTCCAGGGATAATGTGATACCATGTAATTGAGAGTCCCCTGAGCTGGAACAAGAGTCTATTTTTGCCAAGTCCTCTGCAGACCTGTGAGGATGTTATTGCTCCTCCAGTAATGAAGATGTAGGGAGTCCTTTCTTGCTTTGAAGGTTTGTGTCTTACACCCCTGTGCTGCTAAAGGTCTTTCTCTCATCCCTTAAAATCAATGCAATACTTAATTTTCTTTCTTCCTTCCATCTTCCCTCATTCTTGTATTGCTTGGTATGTGATGGGCCAAAGGCTGCAGTTATCACAAGGTTGACTGGATCTTTGCAAGTTAGAGAGATAAAAAAGCTATAGAGAGGGTGCTACAGCCCCTTTTTTCACCTGTAGTGTTAATTTGAATATGTCCTCAGCCCAACCATCAATTTGGCATGGAATTTGTAAGTGGCTACTTGTCTCTGGAACTCTAATTAGTGCTGGGCTAGACTGAAGCAGGCCAGTGGCTTCCCCTCTTACCCATGCCTGCTGCCAGGCTGGGGATTTCAAAGCTCCTGGCACCCACAGTTTGTCCCTCAGTGTTCCCATGAAACACCAGGAGTGACCCAAGGGATGGGGTGAAGTTTCCAGGCTGCTGTGAGGGCAGTCAGGGGGGCTCCTGTGGATTGGTGCCATCTGGGGCTCTGGGATTCTGCAGGATGCAGGTGATGGAGAGGGGCTGTGTTCCAGCCAAGGGACCTGTGAGTGCCTGGGGTGACCCTTCCCAGCCTGCCCAAAGCCCTGAGCTGCTGTGGAAATGCAAAGGGGGAAGGATGTTAGTAAGAGCTGCAGTGTAAACTTGATTTCTGCAAGGCTTAAAGACAGTTGGTCAGAAGAAACCTGTTTATTGTGAGGTTGAGGAAAACAATTTCTATGCAAATTGCCTTTTTTTTTTTGCCAAATAATGAGGTTGATACAGAACTTGGAATTATAATTTTAAGAATGCAAATACATAGTATCTTCTTCAACAAACACAAAACAAACTTCTCCAGGGAACATTAAATGAACAAATGTTTCCTAAAATAAATGGACAACAAGTATGGGGTGGGAAGGACAAAATAAAACAACAATCCAACTCAGAAGCCAAAACCCCACTGAAGAAGCAGCAGTCACATCTTCAGTTTTATGCTCAGGCTGTACTTTCACTTTGCTTTTCCTGTTCGATAGCTGGCAGAAAAACAGGAAACAAAAACACCATCAGTAAACATTACTGTTTATGAACAATAAACTTTGCCTTCCTATAGAGACAGACTGAGGGAATTTTGGGGGTGTACAGCCTGAAGAAAAGAAGGGTCTGGGGAGACTTTAGAACCCCTTCTTGCACTTAAAGGAGACACAAAAGAGCTGGAGGGGGACTTTGGACATGGGCCTAGAGTGACAGAAAAGCAGGGAATGGCTTCACACTGACAGAGGGCAGGGTTAGACTAGATGTGAGAAAGAAATTCTTCCCTGTGAGGGTGGTGAGGCCCTGGCACAGGTTTCCCAGAGAAGCTGTGCCTGCCCCATCCCTGGAAGTGTTCTAGGCCAGGCTGGAGGGCTTGGAGTAACCTCTTCAAGTGGGAGGTATCCTTGCCCATGGTATGGGGTGGAAACAAGATGATCTTTAAAGTCCTTTTAACCCAAACCATTCTGTGATTGAGTGATAATGGTTCTGAAGAATACAAATTTCTATGGCCATACTCAAAGCCAGAGAATTAAATCCATAACAGTTGTTTTGATCACCCTGAAAATGACAACTCCTTTCCTCATCTGCACAGCTAGAAGGGAGCAGCTCATGGTGTGCGAAGCTCCTCTTGTATTTACAGCTTCAGCATTGGCAAGGATAATAAAACAGGGGAAAAACCAGGTATCTAATGCTGAGACTGTGCGTGTGCATGGCTATCAGCACACACATCCACAGTGATTGGCAACACTCTTCTGAAGGAAACTGCTCACAAAATCTGCTCCAAATGCTCTTTTCATATCTGAAGCTGAACATGAATCCCAGCCTTATGTGGCTGCCTGTGCACAGTGTGTATGGGAGAAGACCCTGCATGAGAACAGCTCAGGGGTGCTTTTCGGGGGGAGGTTGCCTGTTAGATGAGGATGATGATGACAAGGATGATGATGATGGGTTTGCTTGCAGCCTTATTGCCACACAAGGTGCCTGGAGGTCTCCTGCCCAGGGCTGACAGCAGGTACCAGTGGGAGGCAGCAGCTCATCTGCCTGCTAACATTAAACCCAGAGCCCAGCACCCTCTGGGGACGCTGCCCGGCCTGCCAGGGATGGGCAAAGGATCCCCTGTGCCTCCAGGGGTGCTGGTAACAAGGTAATTACAAACAGACTGATCCTGTTACCAGCACCCACTGGGAACAGTGCTCTTGATTTTAGCAGAAGCAAGAGCAATCCCATCAGAAAGAGTTTTTCAGACAAAATGCACCACTGGTTATAATTACTGATATCCTTGGAAGCCCAGCATAGAGTCTTAGTATTATCCCCACTTAAAGTCAGGGATGAGTTTGAGCCTGTAATCCTGTGATTAGTATTCATTTTGCATATGAACTGCAATATGGATTATGTCCTTGCTACTTGTACTTCAAATAGCCTCATAAGCACTTACTTTCTTTAGTGGGCAGTGGATTTTTCTCTCTGGTTTCTGTCTTCTTCAGCTTGCTCTTGTCAAATGTTTCAATTTCTGCAAAATCTGGTTTGTCGGACATGATGGGTCCTGACAAAGAAAGGGAAAACACACCCATGGCTTCATTAGCTAGTGCTGTGATACCAGCCATCTGCAAAGCATTTTTTCCTCAAGAGAAAAAATTTTAAAATACCAGAAAAATGTTTATTCAAAAACCTCCACAAACCTAACACTCAATCTGGGACATTTCCCTGAGGCTTGGCTCTTTCAGAGCAAAAGAAGAAACACATAAATAGAATTTTCCCTGGATTTCTCAGATGCAATTTCTAAAAATCATATTTTGCACATGGCAACAAGAATAATATGTAATAAAGAGACAATGATTAATTGCCAGTAATCCACGGTGCCCCTGACATAAACCTGTATTTTAAGAAATGCTGCTAACTAGAAAATCTACAATAAACCCCAAATCCAACAGGAACAAAGAGCTTCAATTATGATTTTCTTTTAATGAATAGGATTTGTCTTTCATTCTGAGCCCCCTGTACTGAGTACATCATCCCCTGAGCTGCTGTGGACACTTGAACATAACAATAGAGGACTGGTTCCCCCAGCCCTTTGTTTGCTCTTGCTCCATATCCCAGTCACAGCTCAATGGCTTTGATTATACTCTATTATAATAAAGAGAATACCACAAAGCACACCAGCATTTCACCTGTCAAAACTTCCCTAATCCAATTCCTCTTTTTATTAAGAAATTCAAGTTAAAATCCAGCCTGGGCATTATTCCCCTTATTTTAGTGGAGTTTCCCATCAAGGCAAGGCTTGGCCCGGAGATGGCTGATATAATTATATTTTTTCCTTCCTGCAGAAAATCAGATTTCATTGCTATCTGCACTGAGACAACACAGTAAATATTCACAAGGAAAAAAAAATTTAAAAATTGCAAAGCTACTAAAACCACATGGCATTACCGTCTGGCTGCTCTCTCTTCAGCTGCTTGGTGGCCGTCTGAGGCAGTGTGAGTTGAAAAAGGTCAGGGTAATCCCTCCTCTCCTCTCCTCTCCTCTCCCCTCCTCCCCCCTCCCGAACCCATCGCTATTAATATTGATTAGTTTAGTGCTGGGATTGCTCATCGTTTAGGGAAAGGACAGATTGCTCCTGTAGAAAGTGCATGAGGGAGGGAAATGGGAAAACTGACATGGAAAACTGCCAAATTACATCTTGATTTTTCTTTTTTTCTGTTCTCTTCATTTACCATGGCAATCATATTGAAGTTTCCCTTCCCACCATTTCCCAGTGCTGAGGTTTGGAGTAAGGTTGAGGTTTGGGGATTGCTTCTGCCAGATTGGTTTTTCAGGGAGGAATTGTAGGTGCATTCAGCAGCACCCCTGGGGATCATGCCCACATGCCCAGGCTGGCAGAAGAACAAGCCCGGGGCTCTGGAGGGCTCTCAGCACAGCCATGGTGTGATTGCCATGACCAAGGGCCAAGTCTGGGATTAGCACAGCCCAGGCACCACACTGACACCCAGGAATGCGTCCTGAAGGGATGTACAGTGAATTTCTGCTTGTGCCTGTTTTGGTAGCTGTTAATTCACTTGCTGTTGCCTCCCTCAGCCCACAGCTCTGGAAGCAGGGAGAGAAGGGCTGTGTGCATCCTCCTGGATACTGGTGTGGGTTTCCTGTCGTGCACCTTTCAGCATCTCCACCTGAAATTCCTGTCTAGACTCCATGACAGTCACAAAGGAGACAATGAAGTTGGGATCAAATTGATTGTGCCCTAGGAGTACCTGGCTTTCTCTACTGACTGCAAGGCAGTTTGAGCAGTGAGCTCAGCGGGACAGAGATGTCTCAGCTGATTGGGAGCCCCTGGAATGTCTGTGGATCTTTCTGTAGGCACCACAGGCTTAGGTGGAGTGGGTTTGAATTTGATATGTGTGCATGGAGAAAATGGCTTTAATGTGCTTAAATGTGTCTTAAGGACCTCTTCTTTCAATGTTTGTTTAAACTAAAACAATGAACAGGTTTGTGGTTGGACTTGATCTTAAAGGTTTTTCCCAGCCTAAGGGATTTGTGCAGGCTGGCTTGGTTATCTCTGCATCTGCACTGACCACACCAAATCACTGTGTGTGTGTGTGTGTGCACCACATTTAATGTCAGGACTCGGTTCCTTTGCTTCCATCCCACATATCCAACTAGTTGTCACAAATAGGAAGCTGTGTTCCTGACTGAAACCCCCAGGGAAAAAGCAGGAAGGCAGCCACTGGGTGAATATTTGGTGTAAGCCGTAGCTGAGATTTGGCACTGAAGAGTCTTTGTGTCTGTTTAAAGACAGAGCATTAACCTCTTGTTTGGCTGGACACAAGATTTAGATCAGAAAAGACTTTAAAACATAATCTGAGTGATTCATGAATCCAGGCAGCTAATGAGTTTCAGTTTTTAATTAATATTTAATATTTGTCCATTTGTAAAAATAACATTTATAATTCTGATTATGAACAGAGACTAAAAGGACAAAAATTCTTAAACTTCAAGAGTAGCACAAATTCTCACAGTTGTAGAGAGCAAACAAAGGGTTCAGAACAGAAAAGCAGAAGAATCTCACTTTTGGTTTTCTGTGTCCAGTCACAGGCTCTGCCCCCAGGATCCACAGCAGAGCTCAGGCTCTTCTAAACATGCTAAGACAGGGTAAGCATGCTTGTTTTCACCACCACTACCATTTTAATTGCCCAATTTATTGTCCAACCTAATACTTAAACAGTTTGGGATACATTATTTGGGTTTTTAGGCTAAAGATGACCAAGTTTTTAATTGATATTCAGTTGGGTTTGTGAAGAAGGTGCAACAATGCTGACCCAAATAACATAATGATGAGAACTTACACGTTCTCACTCTGCTGAAATCAGGAGATACTCATCTCCATAACAAACATCTTGACCATTGCATAAAGAGCCTGTCAAGTTTCTGAAGCTTGTAAATTCAGTGCTGTGGTCAAACACAGCTCGTGTGGGATTCAAACCTCATGTTTATGTACTCAGTGCAGCACACACAGCTGGATACAGTTTACATATGGAAAATTTGGAATTTGGCCTGAGGGCATTGCATACTTTGAGGTAAAGATGGGTAGGTAATATCATACTCAGATGCCTTTTCCTTTCACTAGTAATGGAAATATTTTTGGTGTATGAGCAGCAAAGCTGCTCTTTGTCGGGTTTTTAATTGCAGGATTTCAGAGTCACTGTCTTCAGTAAGGGGAACATGGCATTTACCTGGCCTTGGGAGGATGTGGTTGCAATGAAAACCTCAACTTTCTTCGTGTTGCACAGAGGCAGAAGAATGATCCAGTGTATAGAAATGTGAAAAACCAGGAAGCCAGTGGAGCATGAAGACTATAGAATCTTTCCAGATGCTCCACACATAAAGCATATAAAGCTACACTGGTATGGCTGTGCCTGAAAAGCTGCCTCATACAATGGAAATTCTATTTTATTTCAATTTGTTGCCAAAAGATGAAGGGCTGAGTCAAACCTGCCAGGACTGACACTTCTGATACCAGTGAGTCACCTGCCATTGACAGCATTAAACCATGCCTGGCAGCACAAGGCACCGAGTCTGTCAGACACCCACAGAGCAGCAGGAAAAACAAACACTTGCTCCCAGGATTCGATAACAGGTGAGAGGAAACGTTTAGAGGGAGCTCAAGTGAAAAGTCTGAAAAGTGAAGCTTGGAGGTTTGGACCCTGCTGCCACTTGACCTTTTCCCTTGGCTGCTGTCACTTGGAAGCAGCGTGCCATGCATATACATATATATATAAATATATATATGTATAGATACACATACATATATGGGCTGTAGCCTTTAGTGGGCTGGGGGATGCTGTGCTCATGTTTGGCACAAGAGGTGCTCTGGAAATGCCAGGTTTCATAGAGACGAGGTGGGCAACTGCCAGAAGAAGGGGTTTCTTTCTCTTCAGTGCAGCAGTGGGAACCAAATGGTCTCTATTTCCACGGGGAGCTGAGGGGGGACAAAGCACCCTAAGGCGAGCAGCCGGGTAGAGGAACAGACGCTCGAGCAGATCAGTGTCTGTAGCTGAGCCAATAAGCTGACACAACTGATTTTATAATCACATTAGTGCTGTCTCGAAATAACACACCCACTCAAATATAACAGTGATTTCATTTTCAAAATGCTGTGGTATTTTTGGTGCTAAAGGTAGGGGATCAATTTGTCAAGGCTGAAAGCTGGGCTGGAATCTGCACAGACCCTAATTCCTGCAGGTCCCTGTGAGCACTGAGCACCTTCCAGGCAGGTAGCAGGATTGGGTATATTATGAGCTGTCCTTAGAAGGTTTCCAGTCCTCAGGGGAACAGGAAAAAAAAAAGACTACAGCTTCACTGAAAGGGTTTTCTTAGTTCTCTTTGTGCCTTTTGTTCCGTCTTGCTGCCAAAAAAAATATCCCTGTTTGGGAACGGAGACAGGTTCCCAGGCTAAGAGACAATGAATCCTGGGGGTGTAAGGAAGGCACTGATCCCTCTTTGGCAGGCTCTCTGCTCTAATGCTGCACTGCCACTCAGTAAATACTCGACACTCGTCTTACACTGGACGTTTTAGCATTACCTAAGGTGTTTCATTTTCCTTATCAAGACCATTGAACCTTGAGGGTAGGTACATGTAGAAGATGAGGGGAGAGGAGAGGCACTTTATATAGTCCCTCTCCTTGGGCTATTTTTTCCAACCCCATGTTTTCCAAAGAGCTCAGGAGTTCAGGGAAGTCTATACCAGAAGCCCTGTTGCAGTAAAGAGCAAAAGGAGAAAACATAAGTTAGTGGGAGTAGAAATTTCCTCTCTCTCTCTCTCTCTCTCTCTTTTTTTTCTTTTTCTTTTTTTTTTTTTTCAATATTATAAAACTTGGTATGGGGGTGAATTTTTGAAAGTTTAACCAGATGGAGATTCTTGCAACAGAGCTTTCTCAAACACTGACCCAAAAGTGTGTCTTCCAGCACAAAGTGCTTGGCTCTGGCCTGGCCCCTTCTAGCAAAATGTGTTGACCCATGCATGAATTATTAAAGGAAAAAGTAGAATTAATACAGAATGTCCATGCACAGGCTTCTCTCCCCAAAGCCAGGGTGGGGAACAAAGCATGTGATGTGTTAGTCACATTAGTGCTACAGAGCACATGACAGTTTGTGATGAATACTGGTCTAAAGACACAAGTTTAGCATGACTTTGAGTCTTTAACAGTCTTCACCCCCCCCCCCCTTTCTGTCTCTGGACAGAAGCATCTCCTGCAGCAGTTTAGGGAAGAAGTAAGACAGGGAAATTTTGGATGAGCATTGGGAGTGTGCTCAAACATGGCTTTTCTCAGTGTAGCTGGCTGCTTTGAAATGAAACAATCCACTCTTGAGATTCTCCCTCTCTTTGCTTTCATTACCATTCTACCATTCAAATTGTGGCACCTGCTGTGCAGCAAACAGATAACCAACATAATCCAGGAGAAGATAGATCAAAAATCATAAAATCCAGAGAGCTACTAGCTTTATGTTAACTTTAGATTTTCCTTTTGTCCAGAGGAGAAAGGACAATAGGTGGGTTTGTTGTTACAATCCATGCTGTGTTAGGGTAGCTACAGAGGTGAGGAATTCTTCATTCCACAGGGCTGTGGATGTAGTTTTGAGGGGAACCTCACCAGAACTTCTCTTTGTGTTGCCAAATCATTCCACTCTCAATAGCCTGGGACTCCTGGTAGCCTGAGTGGTTTTATGTTTGGGGAGAAGATAAACCCTGAAATTTTTCAGCAGCTTAAGGAAACAAGGCTGCTGAAGCAGAGGAACAGAAAAGGCAGCCAAGTTATCTTTTCTAGCTGATTACTCTGAGCAATTTACAGAACAAAAACTTGTATTTCTCCATCATCTTTTCTAGAAAAAAATTTCCAATTTTATAAGCTTGTTATACAGTGTGAGTCAAACACATAGGTATACATGTTGTGTACAAGGTCAACGATTATGTAAG